CCGACCTGCGTATGTTCTCTAAACATTAATTACTTTGGAAGACAAACGCATGTTGAAAAGCGTTACAGCATCCATGCAGAGGCATGTTTTTTGTGTATTATTTATATTTGCGTCATGGTGGCGGACCGTACGGCCGTGAGGTTGACGATGAGCTCTAAAAAATATATATATACAAGAAGAGATGTCCCTAAATGGCTGCTGGCAGTGGCTTTGGCTCTCAGCGTGGGTCTGTTTTGTGCGACGCAAAAGCCCGATCCCTGTTCCATGGACACAAGGGTACGAGCGAGGGCGGTCGGAAGGGGGGGGGGGCAGAGGGGTGGGCGGGGGGGAGTGGGCGGAGGGGAGAGGGGTGAAGACTCTGGATTTACTGCACCTTCAGCCACAACCGGCACAAAGCGGGAGCCATGGCCTGGGCTGGAACAAATCGCATTATCCCGGCCCACGTGGACTTGAAAAGCTTATAATGAAAAATCCCTTTTTTTAAAGCCCGTTTTTTTATTTTATTTTTTTGCTCCTTAAAGGGTTTGGACATTTTTAAGCAACTCTTCCAAGAGAGGGCCACACACGACGCTCATTCACTCACAATTAGAGAGCGCAGTCAAGCATAAAGGCAAAAGGTCTGCAATAAAGTATTTTTTGGGGGGGAATTGAATGAAAATAAAAGGTTTTGTTTTGTGTTCCTTGTAAAGTGCTCTATTTATTTTTAAAAAAACGTTTTCACGATTAACAACTGATGCAACATCTCATTTACGAAGTGGTCTGGGCGTTTTAATAATTAGCAATGCGTTGTTGCCACTCATCAAAGGGTCCGAGTTATCTACAGTTTCCCTAATTGGCAGCTCAGGCCCGTTGTTTGATACTAATTATTATCAATTATCCATAATTACTGATCTGAAAAGATTTGAATTCAGCGGAGCAGAAAACTTCAGCGCAATGACTTTTGGGCATTTGGCCATCTCACTGAAGTCAGACTGCGGTCATTCGTTTAGGCATGTGTATGTACGTGTATGCCAGGCGGTTGCTGGACTTGACAGCAGCTGTTCTACAGCAAATTAACCACACATCAAGGCGCGCAGTCATATTTCAGCCACCGAGATGAAAAGTGGTTGCATTTATCGATATCGCCTGTGTGTTGGAGTTGCCGAATGCATTTGTTAAACCGCAAGCTGTGTATTGCCCATTTGATTTGCGAGTCCTACACACATCTCACTCGATTGGAAGAGAAGGCTTTAACTCAATTGGGTGTCAGAGGGTCCACAGTTTACTTTGCGAAAGTCTTTGCGTCATTGCTAAGTTCCTCGGAAGAGAAAATCATTCAGTTGGTTGACCACAGGTTGAGCTTCCAACAATCTGATAAATAGAAATGTGCATTCGTACAAGGGCCAGGGTGGAGGGCGCATTTCATAATTCCCTCCCACGCGCAATCGAATTAATTTGCGCGCACGTGAAACTGCCGTCGTGGTATTCTCCATTCCGCACTTGATGCTCGCGATCCATCTAACCCGCCGCCCCCCCCCGCCTTTGGCTGCCCCCCCACTCTCCTCGCCCCTTCCGTGCCCTTAGCGCTCGCACACCCCAATGCCTCTGAGCTGAGAGCCAGACAGGCCCTGTTTACTGTATCGCGTTTCTCTCCCCCAACCCCCCGGAACCAACAACACTGGGGCGGGCGGCCCGTGAACACGAGCCGCCCGCCGCGGCGGCCTCTCGCGCCGCCGGCCAGCGGCTTTGTTCTCACCTCCTGATGGATGAGCCGTGTTGTTTTAATGGAGAACACAAAGTGTTTGGGAGTTCAAATGTTTTCTCCAACAAGGCCATTTTTTTCCCCCTTAAAAAAAATAAAACATTACTTAAGCTGTCGGTAAACACCACAATATATTTCAACGCAAGCACAAGTGTTTTTTTTTTTTACGGATATAACGTGGAAATGGCAGCATCATAAAGTATTTTGGTATTTGACCATTTTCAAGTTTGTGCGGAGGGCATTAAAAATGTTTATTATTTTCATTACAGCAGGAGGATTTATTTACGTAGAATTATGCAAACTAAACAAGTCTCCACTATCCAACATTCAAACTAAAATTGCAACGCCTGGCTGAGAACATTTAATGTTCTGCAGCATTGCACTCCAAGCACAAAAATAAAAGAAAACGAGTTCACACAAATTTACCACAGCCTGCGTAAAGATTTACTTCAGGGTCTCTCAGTGTTTTTCAGCCATAGTCGATTTATTTTATTGCTTTTCTCAGTAAGGTCTCACTTAAGAGCACACAGTGCATAAAGGTAAGTGTTTGTTGACCGTCGGACTGTTTAAAGAAATTTAATCCGAGTTGACCACTTGGAGGGTTCAGCAACCCCAGAGCTCAGGCGAGATTAGGGCTCAGAAAACGCGGACAGATATCCCGCGCCTGCTCGCTCGTTAGGGTTTTAGTGCCTCGGACTATCGTCCATCTCCACGTGAAGCCGTGTCCGTCGGCTCGAGCCTGGGATCCATTATCGAGATATTCGGGGTCGGTCCCCCAGACCGCAAGAAGCGTCTGGTGTCTGGTCTCTCCCGTGCCTCACCCTCGACGGGTCAGCCTCAACATCAATCGCACGTCAAGCGATAAGCGCGCCTTTAAATCCATACCCAACAGCCTTTGCCAAAGTCGCCGCGCGAATGTCAGAAGAGACAACGGCTCGTCTGTCGCCACTGACGGCGCGGAGCACCGGGGGTGAGCGCCGCCTTGAGCCTGTTTTTTTTGCAAGAGCCGGCGGAATATCTCCAAGTGAAAGCAGGCGGAATGAAGAAGCCAGAGCCTTAGCGGGGGTTACCATTATTCTTGAGAAGGCAAGGGAGGCGAGAATCAGGTGGTTTGGGCACGTGTTGAGAAGGCACAAAGAAGATGCAATTAGAAGGACTACATGGATTAGAGCATGCAGAGACTCACACAGAGACCCACAGATGCACACGAGACCCATAGATTAGAAGGGCTATGGGGATGTCACCGGTGCAGGGGCAGAAGGAGTAGAGGGAGAATGAGGGTGACGTGTAAGGATGCGGTGGAGCGAGATATAAGAATGGATGTGAATGGAGAAGAGGCACGAAACAGCAGCACGTGGAGGAATATGTTTGGCTTAGAAGGCACAAGTGACTACAGTGGTCACTGCTTAGCAAAAACGTCATCAATATGACATTACTCCACTGCGGGAAACACTACACATTCGTGGAGAGTTGGGCACAGTGCAACTTTCACAGAGTTGCTAGCACATCTCATGCCAGTGCTTTGATTATGCCAGAGACAAGACGGGAGCAAATCCGTACAACCCTCTTAACCTCTTTATTAGGCGAAATGCAACACCTCCTTTGACCCCGGCCGCACAATGCTTTGCGATGACGGCGGACATGAAAGACATTCTTTAATTCCCTTTTGGGCGCGAGCCCTGCTGCAGCGTGAGTAATGAAATTTGCACAGGTGCGAGCTGAATGCGCCCTCCAGATTCAGCTCCCAAGTCACTGATGAATGGGTGGCGCATTTCCGAACTGGTATTTTTTAATAAAACAGGGTCAATTACCTTCTATTTGTCCTTCACCATTCCCCGTGTTTATCTTTGAAGTACGCACGCGAGTCTTTGGCAGATAAACACATTACGCACCTAAGCGAGCAGAAAGCGGCATTTTGTATCGTCGCGTAAAGCCGTAGTGGATGCCTTCTGAGCGAGCGCTGCCCAGTTGGGAACTGTTTCTTGGCTCGGCACGTGAGATTGTGGGTGGGCAGCATCACGCATGCCCCAGCGCGCTCATTCCATCGCCAGCAGCACGTACGACGCTGGCTTTCGTGTTTCAGCCCGAGGTGACCCCCAAAAGCGGTCGGTCCTCGACAGGTACAATAGCTGGAATGGACCCCAATTTTTTTTTGTACAAAACAAGTGCTACACCAGCCTTGGCTGAGCATAGAGAATTTAATTTGTGGGGAAGGGGGGGGGTTGCCTTTTCTGCATCCCCTCATTATCGACAGGAGCCGAGTGTCCTTACAAAGTACGATCGTAAACTTTTGTTCTAACGTCTCCGAGGTGGCAGGAGAGATGACATTGTGTCAGCGCGTTCACACTCGAGTGCAGTTTCACCTGCGACTTGGGCACGGGCTCTATGGTCACAAGTGAGTTCGCATTTAAATTCAATGATATTCCAACATACCCATATAACCCTGACCAAAGCACCATCATGATGAGCAGGGAGACATGGGGAGAGAGTAAAACGGGAGAGAGAGAGAGAATGAGACGGTGAGAGAGATGGGCAGTACGAGATTAAGAGTGATTGAATAAAAGAGATGACAGAGAACTGGGCATGGGGAGATGGGGAGAGAAAGATGCGTAGAGAGCAATGGGCAGAGAAAGCTGACCAGGGAGAGATGGAAAAATGAGATATTCCACAAGAGAAAGAGAGATGGTCAGGGATTGTCAACTTCTTTTTGCGTTTAGTATGTTATACTTCCCCCGGCACCTACGATTTGCACAGTTGGCTACGCATGATGCGAAAACAATTCAACACATATATACATGCATAAAGAATAAAGAGATGGGCAGTGTGAGATGGACAAGGATAGATGGATGGAGAAAAATTGGACGGGGAAAGATGGGCAGGGAAAGATGGGCAGGGAAAGATGGGCAGGGAAAGATGAGCAGGGAAAGTTGGGCAGGGAAAGTTGGGCAGGGAAAGATGAGCAGGGAAAGATGGGCAGGGAAAGTTGGGCAGGGAAAGTTGGGCAGGGAAAGTTGGGCAGGGAAAGTTGGGCAGGGAAAGATGGGCAGGGAAAGTTGGGCAGGGAAAGTTGGGCAGGGAAATATGGGCAGGGAAAGTTGGGCAGGGAAAGTTGGGCAGGGAAATATGGGCAGGGAAAGATGGGCAGGGAGATGTGGACACGGTGATGTAGCCAGACGGAGGCAGAAAGCCGAGTGTTGGGACCGGCTGTGAGGTGCAGCGCTGCGATGGCGTGTGGGGGTGACGGCCGTGCCGGGCTGACCGTGAGGCGTGGTGCTGGAGGCCGGGGCCCTCTCCGCCGCCACGTCCTCAGCCTTGCACCCGCCTGGCGGCGCTGCCGCCGGCCGCTCCGCCGTCTCCATGGTAACCGGCATTGCTCAGGGCCCCATCCCAGAGGGCAGTAGGCCTCAAAGGACAAGAGAAAACAACAAAAACTGAAGCAAATGCCGAGATAAGTATTAGGCAAATGTTTACTTTTGAATTTTTCATATATACACAAACAGTGTAGTGTTTTCACAGTGGTTAGTGTATTTCACCTTGATCCCAGCGACCTGCGTTCGATTCCTGACCAAGGTAACATCATGAGCGAGTGATATGTGAATAGGTGATGTTAATTCCATTATTCACCAACCCACACTGACCAGCATGGTGAGGTCTGGCAAACAACCCTTATTCACTCATAACCAATATGTTGTTGGGAAGCATTCATCCAGCAGTGAATTGACAAAAGATTGTAAATTGTATATACAGTATTCATTAAAAAAAGACCTTTGCATAGGGAAAATGTACTCAGCAATTACCTAAGAATGTACCTTGGAGAAATTTGATTCACATTGCATCCAAATACAACGACGCCTCAAGATTACGTTTCAGACTGTGATTCTAAATAGAGGTTCAGGTTAAAAAAGTGAACAGATGTTTTGTCCCCAAGGGAAATGTTTAGTTTGTGGAGGGAAGACAATTACTGCTAAAAACCTATCCAGAAACCTACTTACTCTACTGCCTCCTACAGGCACAACTCTGTCCCTGCAAGCGGGTATCTCATGAACACAATCTGGTCACGATCCACTAACCCCATCGGTCAAGTCACCGCACTTTGCAAACCATTTCTAAACTGCGCCCCTTTGTAGAGAAGAAAAGCAAATCCCCCATACAACCGTTTCGAGTCAAACACTCCCCTCCACCAGTCACTTCGCCACACACGCGCACACACAGGAGCTGTGACCTTTGAGAAGCAGCGATTGGGAGCTACTAGCCATAATTAAATTTCATAGCTGTATTGAGGAAATTAAAGGCGAACGGGGGGGTGGGTTAAGTCAAGGGCCCTTCTCCTCAGCTGCTGGAGAGCCCTCACACGTGTTTGCTCTCCGTTCTGGTGGCGAGTGGCAGGGCGGACGTCACCCCCATTGTGTCTCCCGAGAAAGAGCAAACACCGAGATCATCGTGCCTCCTCCGCATCGGCGCCGCACTCTGCATAATGACGATACGTGCCCTCAGTCGCTCGCTCGCCCTGCGGAGTGTCTGCCAGCCAGCCACACAGGAACCACCGCACTCGTCATTAATGCCGGCGGATAGCGGGGGAAAATGTATACAGCCAGCCAGATGTTCCAAGCAATGGCCCTGCTAAATCAGAGGGAACAGAAAGTTTGACCGACTTAGAAGTAAAACGGCACTCATAGTCGGAGATAGCTCCCGCAGTGTAAATAGGGTTTTCCCCTTTTTTCTGGCAACAAAACAGGTGTTAAGATGTTAAAACAACAAACTGAAACCTTTTACAAGGAATCATGTCTGCATTAACCACAATGCTTGAGGTCAGAATGCAAACAAAAAACACTCTGATAATATATGCATTGTCCTTGAAACTGATTGGTCCACACCAGAGACAGCTTTCTTTTGTTTTGTTGCCAGAAAAAAGGGAAAAAAACAATTATCATATTTTGGTACTGGCAAAGGAGGTCCCAGATGCTCACCCCGAGGTCTCATTACTCTGATAGTGCATTGTCTTTGGGCTATATGCCTTTTGGCGTCCTCTGGTCGAACACCGTTTGAGACAAGGCTCAAAAGAAATCTGTCTCTGGTGTGGACCAATCAGTTTCAAGGACAATGCATATATTATCAGAGTATGTTTTTTGTTTGCATTCTGACCACACGTATTGTGGTTAATGCAGACATGATTCCTTGTAAAAGGTTTCAGTTTGGTGTTTTAACATCTTAACACCTGTTTTGTTGCCAGAAAAAAAAGTGGGAAAACCTATTATCATGGGAGCATAGAATTATCATACAACAAATATTTTTTGCGGCAATGCCCTCTGCTAACCACCAAAGTGCACGGCCTCTCAGCCACCTATGACAACCTGGTATGCACAATAATCACCCATCCAAACACTTATCCAAGCTCAAATCCTGCTTAGCTTCTGCGGCCTGATGAAATCGGTTGCGTTCTGAGTTATTTGTTCATAGGCCAGTCAACTATTCTCAAACATATACAGTATTAATTACAAATATGCCGAGTAGTTTTGAGTTGGGCCTCTGCACGACTGCCAGTGCAGTCCATTACACTTCTACCACACGTTGCTCATCACGCAACACATGGCCACACCACGACCTCAATCGATTTCTTTTTTAAATGTAGGTTAATTTGCTCTGGAAGTTATCAGCGTGTCAAAGCGAAGACAATTTGTATATACATTCAGATGTACTGTAATTATGTTGCTCTCAGACATATTTTCCTATGTGTACTCTAAATTTTAGGTCTGGCAGAAAAGGGAAAAGCTGATAGAAGCGAAGAGAGCCAAGGACAGAATCATCGTGCTGGGAATTACACTCAAGAGACAAGAATCTGAATGCAGAGAGCACATGCAATTCAGACACATTACATTGACTGTAATGAATGTGGGCTCGATAGGGATGATGGCCGATGGACAAGAGACTAATGATGGCATGGCAGCCGAAGGAGAAGAACACATCTGAGAGTTTTACCATCAAAGAGAGGCAGCAATGAGGTTATGCAATGCACAGGAGTGAGATGGTTTGTGGGGTCAGAGTAATAAGTAATCAGTGGCGTTATAGGCTGGAGCCCTCGACACAGCATTGCAGAGCTCGTTCAGGGCAATGGGGAGACCTTCGTCCAGCAGTGGATGGACCATGGCGGCTGATGATGATGATGACGATCCGCACTCCACCAAGACAACTTACAGCGCGTTATTTATTGGGCTGTGCAGACACGTTACGATTATTACCACAAATGTTTAGGTCTTTTTTTCGTAATTTTGGATGTTTCGCCAATACCGATTCCATTGTGTGATTGTTGTTTTTATTTAGTTGTGGGAGGAAACTGGAGAACCCCGAGGAAATCGATACTTATCGTGGGGGAGAACATAAAGACGCCAAACTGAACGGTAACCGAGCCAGAAATCGTATCCAGGGCCTCTCTCACCACGACGCACAAGCGTTCCTGCCACGTGTGTTACTGCTGCGCCACCCTGCTGCTCAGAATCACATGCCCTTTCGCTTACGAGTGCCAAGTAAGTTCTGCAACGACTTGCTTAAAACGCCGGCGTATGAACAAATACAGATCTGTTCATGGGCTGGGCAATGGTTAGCCCTGCAGACTAGAACTCCCCATTAACAATGGTAAAATCCAAGTGTTCCAAACCTAACACTGCCACCTCACACGTGCCCCTGTCCCCCGGTGGATTCAAGAGGCAGTGCTGCAGGTGCGAGGGCAGGACAGCGCCAAACTGGAGCACATTGTTGGGGCTCCTCCAGCACCACGCGTTAACACCGGTCCAGAAAACATCTCTTGTTCGCCGTGACATTCCAGGCAGTAAATTATTGGGGCACCGTCGGCACGCACGCAGTAGCTGTGCATGTGTGTGCGTGCATCATTGCTAGAACAACACATTACCCCATACTGCCGACACAAACTATTTGATCAAGTGCTATTATCGAGCACCTATTAAGGCTTGCACAGTATACGACGGGGTGGTGTGGCCGAAAACAATGCCCGGCCACCTTGATCTCCACAGTGTTGAGCTTCAAACACCACACCAGCTACAGATTTATGTCCCAGCCGACTGAGGGGGGACTCAGGGTTGGTTCAAATATTCACGCCGCTGATGTTCGGAGTGGCTGCGAATGAAACTTGGTTGGCCGGGGTTCATAGCGCCGTACGGTTTTAATAGGTTCAGCACTTGACGCAACAGCCTGTGTCGGCTACATGGGATATCGTTGGCTTTTCTAAAAAAAAGAACACAGTGGGTTGGTATTGCTGTGGCTAGCATTGCATTGCGAAAGGAACGAGGCCACCTGCTACGACTAACAATCAGTGACAAATATCTGGACTAGTCCTGAACCTCCCATAGCCGGCCGAAGCACTCAGGAGACAAATCTGTCCGTGCCTGGAGCTGGCCACACCAACCCGCTCGCGTGCACTGCCAACCTTCATCGCCACGCACGAACAGCACTTGCCCCAACAGCTTGTGTCGGCTACACTGGGGAACTTTGTCATTACTTCGTGCTGGTGGCGGTGGGAAGGATTGGGGGAGTGGAGGGGGGTATGGAGGAGTTGTTGCAGGGGGCAGTCCCAAGTGGGAGTGAAGGGGTAGGCGGAGTGTGAAGGATTTGAGGGGGTAGATGCGAGGTGGGGGGGAGTGGTCTTTGTGAGCGCCTGCCCGGGTAGGATTATTCTCACGTCGTTCACCCCGAGCAGGCATTGTCGCCACTCACCAGGGTGGAAATAAAAGGCTTTTTTTTTAATCGGAATGCCAACGCCTACACTTTGTTTTACTCGGTCAGAGTCCTATTAGGGCTGCACACTGGGCTGAAAACAGCAAGAAGCACAATTTTCGTAGCCGAATAAAAAAAACAACTCCCGCGGCCGCATCTAAAAGTATAAACTCGTACATTAAGCACGGCGGCATCTGAGAGGTGGTACCGTGGTCCCTGGGACAGTAGGTAACGTCAAAATGAAAACCCCTAATAGATATCATGCGCAGCCGCATTCCACTAGAGCAGGATAAGATCTCCTCTCTCTGTGGGTGTGAGTTTGAGCGCGGGCCGCGTTCACAGAGGCTGGTGGTGCGGTCTAAGCCTCTGCCGTACATCTTGACTAAGTTTGAGCCAATTCCCGGCAGCACCCCAGCACATCAGCGCTCACTCCACCCATATGGTCAGCGTTCACCTCCAGCGAATATTAAAAATTCATATCGCGTGACTGGGAATTCATCTATAAAACCTGACTTGCTACAGAGCCAATGTGTGTGTGATTATATATCCAGTGGCCCAAAACTTAATTCCATTGTAGGTCTTTGCGGTTGTTCTGCATTGCTTTCCGATGGGTGTTTTTTTTCAAGGTTGTACTGTGTGTGCTGCGGTTGAGTGTGATGTCCGACGTTTTTTACAACA